TAGGTTTAATCAATAAAACTGTTGTGTTTTCGTCATTCCATATATCAAATTAAGAATCTTGAAGTTCCTAAACCTCGGATGTGAAGTAAACAATGTTATAAAACGGAATCAATGACCTTTGTATTGTGCAAAGAATTAATTTATTTTAAAATGTTAAATCGAAAAGTGCAGCAGGAAATTAAACGAAATTCGCTGACTCGTTAAGATAAAATTTTCGCATGTTTTCATTTAAAATTAGCATCCGTAAACTTGTAATGAAGTTATATTTTTAAAATAATGGGATTAATAATTATGCGAATTAATGCGATTCTCTTGATTTAATTCGTTTACTACTGACTTGATCAACTGGCATAGGCTTAGAGTTTATGCGAGAATTACTCGTTAAGGAAATATTAGTTAGTACATATATGGAGTATTTAAATACGAGGTAAGATTTTTTTAGAACACTTAGATGAAATGTCTTGTAAGCAATCTTGATGACTCATATTTTGTCTATATGAAAATAGGTACTTATATAACACTGTAGAAAAATTCAAATTTTTGTTTTCTTTTCAAAGTAACTCGCCTGTCTGCCATTTGGCTCGACGATTGTGTTTTTTTTTGCACAAATCTAAACAGCCGTCAATCAAAACCATTTACCCGTTTTATTTGCTAATATTTCTAATGAGATTCAACAATTTTGCTTCCACTTTCAGATAGAAAAAGTTTTCATGTAAGGCACTTAAAACGGTTTTATAACCTACTAGCTTATGCACGCGACTTCAATTGCGCGGATTTAAAAATAAATGTTCCTCCATACTAAGATCTACATCTGTGCCGAAATTTATTTGACATTCGTCAAGCCATTTTTTAGTTAGAGTAACAAACCTAAATCCATGCAACTTTCCAAACATTCGGACTTATAATCTATATCTATACTTATGTATCTATACTAATATTATAAAGAGGATAGATTTGTATTTTTGTATGTATTGAAATAACTCAAAAACTACTTGGCGGATTTTAAAAATTCATTCACCATTAGAAAGGAAATTTATCTGTGAGTAACATAGGCTATATTTTATTATTACTAATGGTGAGGAAACATTAATAAATAGCGTGTTTCTGGACCCCGATGTTAAAAATCACTATATTTTAACTTTTCTCGGCTTACGCTGCCTAAACCGTTAGTATTAATATAAATTTCTAACAAACGCTTTTCTAACAAAAACTAACAAGTTAAACATTTTGATAAGTGTACTCCGATTGAAATATTTCTTCGCACATTTAATTCCGAAACCAAAAAGAGAAAACGGACGATTCAACTCTGGTGATACATGTTAGAATACTTATATTCATGATCGAAATTACAAACGTTTTCTTAGCGTTTTTAAAATATTGAATACGAATCAAAATATGAGACAATGTTTGCTTACTACTTACGAATCCAACTTGAATTTATATTTTGATTTGCAGTTATTACGTAATACATTAGTTTAAGAGCTTCGACGAAGACGTTAAAATCTTTTTTATAAAATTACATGATATTTTTAAAAAAGTTAGAAAATGTTAGAATGGTAAGCTTATTTATCAGTGAACATTTAATAAATAAGGTAGAACATCTCGTATATAGCATACTAGCTTTTGCCCGCGACTCCGTTCGCGTGAAATTCAAAAATAATAAAAAAAAGGAAAAATATAGCCTATGTTACTCACAGATAAATTACCTTTCTAACGGTGAAAGAAATTTTGAGCCTATTCATTATAATCAAACAAAGTTTCCTCTTTAGTATAAATAAAAAAGGAATGGAAATAAACAAACAACAAACAGATTATGTTTCAAGTTCTATTTGATTTGAATACACTACAAAAATCTAAAATAACGATTTCATCTACATTTTTGTTACTGGAATCCTAGTTACAGTTTAAAATGACTATATTTTCAAGTCTTGTGTTATTTAACTTCAACCACATTTAAGGGTGAAGATGGGTTTTACACATAACCAAATTGTAAACATATCTACGTGTACGGATGTACTTTAGGCGGCTCTAGAATAATTCATTTACAAGTATAAAGTATCCGTTTTGATCGGTTCATTAAAAAAAAGCTATTGTATGCTTAGACTTGAAGTCAATCACCTTTATAAATGATTTTTTGTCGATATTACATACAGACATTTCAATTTTATTCATTGTATATAATAGTCTCTTATTGATGATACGTAGGTATTGATGTTTAGTAATTCAGTAACCCCATCTGATATTACTGCTCGTGTTAAAGTTAGTGGTAAATCAATAAAAAAGTGTTCTGTTAAAAGTAATTTATACAACTCCAATAATAACATTAAAGAAATTTGGTTGCTCTTATCTTACTAATATTATAAATGCGAAAGTTTAGATGGATGGGATAGATGTTTGTTAGAGTTTGTAGTTTAAAACGGATCTCGGTGAAATTTAGCATAGATTTAGAGGATAGTCTGGAAGAACACATAGGCTACTGACTTTTGTTTTTTATTCCACGCGGACGGAGTCGCGGGAGAAAGCTAGTAGACTCATAAATTCACCATGTTTCTTCATCAGATTGGCCAATTGCTAAGGGCACGGTCGAATTATACATATGTACCCTATCCTACTTATTAAAACACTTCAGAAGAGCCATTTATTTTCAGTAAAAGAGTAAATAAACACAAACGTGATGTCATTAAAAAACATGTATTTTACACACCACATTGTACGTAGTTTTTATTGCAATAACAGTGCAAAATTTACTTAAATAATTAAAAATAATGCATGAATATACATAAATATGAAAATTACTTTAGGAAGATTTTGTTTAAAATTTCCCACAAAGAACACAAGATGGTTTTTTTTATTTTTCATGGATGATAAGATGTTATAAATAAATGTTAATACCAATATTTTCACGAAATACATTTATTTTTCACAAGCTGTTGCCCGTGACTTCGTCCACGCAATATTAAAATAAAAAAACTACCCTATAACATGCCCGTCTATGTCAGCTATCCTACAGTGAAAGTTCGGTCAAAATCGGCCCAGTCGTTTCGGAGATTATCCGGAACGAAAACATTTTACGGACAGACAATAAAAAATTAAATGCGATTTTCGTTATCAGCAACGCAAATACATCTTCCCGAAATCTCGAATCTTTCCTTTTGTATTACAAACAGACACTACAATTTTATTACATGTATAGATTAGGGATATTGAATTTCCCAGTATATCAATATAACTTTTATTTGTATTTTCACGAAGAACTCAACTGATAAGTAAAGTTTTGTGTTCATTGTGTTTATTGTATGGCACAATGTTTTAAGCTGCTATAACCAAAATTAATTTACTTTACCGTATATCTAAAGATAATGTATGTTTATATTGCTTTTATAACTTTTAAGTATAGTAAAACTTTACATAGTGGAAATAAACAACATAGGATAGTACCATATAAAATCTATACTTCTATACTAATATAACAAAGCGTAAATACACACTTCTGTGTTGCCTAAGTTGTCAGCAATTACAGCATATTTATGAATAATTCTTCTTTTAATGATAAGCCCTACACTTACGTCATGCTTTAGGCTACACATTTCCACCCCATTAAACTTAGGGGTATATTTTGGAGAAAAACCCAAATGTGGGAAAGAGACCATAAGTTGCTACCAACATCAAGGAAGTAAGGTTGCCATGGTTTGTCATCATGTCATGTCATTTTGTCATTTGCAATTGATAATTTGACACATGTAAACAATGAAGGTTTTCATAATTTTATGTGCGGATGAAGTCGCACGGGAACAGCTAGTAATATATAATTACCGAATTCATACTGTAGAAATATTATAAACGGACCGCTATCATGTACGATAGAAGAATTCAAACACATCTTATATTTTTAATATGCGTTATTTTTAAAATGTCCATAAAATCCAACCTTGCTTTTTATAAATATGAGTAAAATTCTCATGACTTGGAGGTGATGAACAATTTTTTTAAGTATTTAATGCAAATTAATTTATTACATTACTTTTTGTTATAGCTCGAAATGCATACAAACTTTAAAGTTTTTATGCTGAGTAAATACACGAAAATTATATTGATGTTTAAACGAATGAATTAACGTGAAATACAGTTAAAATAAAGAAGAGCAGTCTATACCAATATTATAAAGAGGAAAGATTTGTATTTTTGTATTTATTAAAATTACTCAAAAACTAAAAAATTCTTTCACCAATAAATGGCTACGTTATCTTTGAGCAACATAGACCATATTTCTTAAAACTTCCGGAACAACAGCTAGGTTTGAATAAAAAGAAAGAAATCATCATCTCCCCTATTTTATCCTACTCCTGTAGGGTCGGCGTATCGGGTTTTCTTCCTCCAAATAACTCTATCATACGTCATCTCAGTCATCACTCCCTTCTTGATCATGTCACCTTTCACGCAATCCATCCATCTCTTTCTAGGTCTACCTCTACCGGTGTAAATGATCTTTTTCGGTTTTAAATTATCTACAAATTAAAAATAAATGGTTGAACAATAATTGTGTTTATTAAATCATAACTACTGTAGTTTATAGATGAAATGGAACAAACTATTTCTCTTTATAGTAGATTATTGCTGGTGCTTCAGTAGGGAATTGAGTGTTCTGATTTGTTCTGATCTAGGTTATTGCCAATTGCCATTATTTTTGCCAATTTCCTGTTTTGTTACACACAAAATGCCAAAAGTTACAAACATAAAAATCAGTGTCAGCATAATTTGTATTTATGCATAAGTAGAATGAAAAATTAATACTTGTTACCTAAATAATTGATTAAATTCATGACTTCGAATATTCATTTGAAAAAACTTTATATACTTGTAAAAAAATAATCCAACACAAAAAAAGTGAAATACATAGTTTCTAATTACAGCATTAAACATAAATTTACGATTTTACAATAAATGGTTAGTGTTTTTTGTTGGTAAACATTAAATTATTGTTTATTTTAATTGAAACTTACCTAATAATAGAAGAGTATTTTTATTAACACGTTATATTTCAAAACATCAATAAATAAATGTTCAACACTAACACTAAAACAGTTACGAATATTGTTCCGAAAGTCGCAACTAACGTGCGATTCTGACGAACTCTGTTAGGCAACTATGTAGCGGCTTTGAGGATTTTGCGATCGCATGTCCCATTGCGAATCTACGGGCTCTCGAACTAGAAAAGGAATTTAATCAAATTATACTAATGTTAAAAACGCGACAATTTAGAAAGGGTGCTGGATAAATTTCGATGAAATTTGGCTTAGATGTAGCTGATAGTCTGTAAGAACAGGCTACATACATTGGTTTTTTAATTCCACGCCGATGGAGTTGCGGGCAAAAGCTAGTATCTTACTAATTAAGCATTTGACTTCAAATTAATACTTACTTAAACAAAAAAAATTGAGTTAAAGGGTTACTTAATATAAGGGTTTCACGATTAAATATTTTAAAGTTTTTTTTTTTAATAATCTTCTACTAGGCTGAGAAAGAGCAAACAAACCTACTTGTAATTTCAGCCATTCTTTCTCATAATGTTAGAGCGCACACACCTTTGACTGAACTATCGCACAACTGTTTAGTTGCACTTTGTTTCCTCTGAGCTTACATGGAGGTTACACTCGATTTTTAATGGTGCAACTAAACAGTTGAATTGGCTGCAAAACAATCGACAATCGCACAGCAGATAGTTTAGTCAAAGGGGAGCGCCTGTCCTTAGTATTGAGAACGACGTTGATTAAAAGATGCAGCCGTCTATTAATTAGGGAATATTGGATATCACATTTTCATTACGAGGATTTGGAACAGAAACAAAAGCATTGCATCTTGAGATAATTGTAGTTAATTTCCTTTTTGGGTGAAATAATAGAGGAAATTAAAAATAAATGTTTATTTGAATTAACATATCTTACAAATTATAACAGCAAAACAACATTTATGAAATTAATTATCACTATGTACAGCTAATAATATTAAAAAATAATGAATTCTAAGAATACTGAATCAATTCTAACACGAATATTGAAAAACCCTCAATAGGTTTAGAGACATTTTTATTATTGTTCTATATATTGTTATGTTGTGTTGTGTTGTGTGTGTGTATGGGTGTGTGTGTGTGTGTGTGTAATAAAATAATAAATAAATTGAAATAATACTTAAATGAAAACAGTAGTTAAAACTCTAATAATGAATGGAGCAGATAGGTAATCTTACTAATGTTATAAATGCGATAGTTTACATAGATGGGCGTTTGTTAGAGTTTACCGCCTAGACGATTGAACGGATCTGAAAACTTTGATGCAGAGCATAATGTGGAAGAACCCATAAGCTATTTGTTTTTTTTTTTTATTTCCCGCGGACGTAGACGAGGGGGTAAGCGTTAGCTTCCCTTTTTAATTTGTAATTAACAATGACTTTGAGCAAATTAATTTAAATTTACTAGTTATAAATGATCAACGTGTACTGTTCAAAACTGTGAATCTGAGTATATGTTTGTAAAACTACTCAACAAAAATATTTCTAAAACAATGTAACAATCATAGATTTTGTTCCAAAAAATGTGCGTACATTAGTGTTCTCATTAAATAAGGAATATTTTTTACAATAATGTAGTACAAAAGTATGATTTTAATGATAATAATTTTAATCGCTATTAATGTGTTTGTATGTTATTTTCCATTCTAAAAATGTTAATATTAAGTATATATAAGTCGTCTAACAGTATTTTTGTATGACATAACGTCTTATTAAAATCTGTTTATAACCTAAAATAAAGTTTTATTTATAACACCATCAATATTTATAAACTGAAAATAATTTTACAGTAAAATTATTGTTGCGAAATAAAAAAAAAACATCCGCATTGTTATTTTACAATGTTCGTCACTAGATGGCGTTATTTAAAATCTTGTAATGAAATAGTATCAATGTTTTAATTTTAATTAAAATACAAAGAGTAAATAATAACCTATGCTAAAACTAAGCCTCGACGTTATGATACATAATATAATGTTTTCTAGTAAACTGTTTTATAATAATAATAGTCAATCGTATCAAATAGTATAACTTATTTGCCCGCGAGTTTCACAATTCGCGGGAAAATAAAGTATTGAACGAATTTCCTTATTCAAGCTATCGGCGTCGCCATTCGATCATCTAAGCTAGGTCTAGGTGGAGGCAGCTACCATTAATATGGCCTCAGTACCCGCAGTACATTTTTTTTCAATGTATTTAATTTTACATAATTATAAATATACAGATGTCTCTAGAAATAAGAATATCAAAGGAACATGGGAAATTTAAAGTTACATATAATTTATAAAAATAATTATACTCTAATAATTACTAATTTAAGTTTTTGGTCTCAACAAATTTTATATTTGGTTGCTCCCTTGTGCAACATAATATGTAGTATCAAAATAGAGTAACTTTATGTTTGTACATAATTATTGGTAGAAATTGAGTGACATTTTAATATTTAAAATATATAATTATCTTGGATAACGCTTCCACAAATTTAAATTAAAAATGCTTCGAAGTATCTATTTTAAACATTTTCTGATTAAACAATCAGTCACAATTGTCACTTTTTCGAAACCAAATGACTGTATTCTTAAAAAAATAACTCCTATATAATGTTTTCTATTAAACTTAAATTTTAATTAGTATATTATGTTATTTTTATTGTTTTCACTTGGTTACTATGATTTTAAGGAATGCACAAATTCTTCTTCAACTAGAGAACCGTCGCCACTGCGAAGAGCTCTGTTTGTGATCACCGTTGGAGTGGCTGCTTTTACTGAAATAGGAAAAAAAACAATGTTACTTACTAATATTATAAATGCGAAAGTTTAGATGGGTGGATGGATGTTTGTTAGAGTTTGTAGCCTAAACGGTTGAACGGATCTCTATAAAATTTGTCATAGATGTAGAGCATAGTCTGGAAGAACACATAGACTACTTACTTTTGTTTTTTTTATTCCACGCGGACGGAGTCGCGGGCGAAAGCTAGTTTAATGTAAACGTGTAACATATTTGTATTAGAATGTCCTGGCTTTAATAGTACAAAAGGAAAAATAATAGAAGACAACTGTTACATCGTCGAAACTGAAATACAAAGGGAATTAAATTATCCCGTGAATGTTATACAAGCCCAAGGAAAATACGGTGTTTCTTATTACAATCTCGACAAAATCTTACAGTACAAGATTCCTTATCTTTGTTGTATAATACACTATTATAATATACGATACGATATCATCTGTTCATCATAATGGTTTTATTTGGTTATATCTTAAATTTATTTCATGCAATGTCGTTACATAGATTTATAATATGAAATGTTACATTTTATTTTGTCGAGACATTATTTACCTTGGATAAGGCTTCTTTCAGAAAAGACTAATATCAATAACTGCTAAGAATTTGAAGGAGTTATTTTAGAAATATAAAAAACATTGTGCTATAAATTAATATACGATATGACTTTTTAAATAAGTATTCAGATACGATGTTGTATCGTCATACAAGTAAAATTTAATTTTTTCGCACTTAGGATGGTTCACTAAAGGCAAAAGTTAGTGAAATTTTTCTTGGTAGTTAAATCGTTTTTTTTAATTTAACTTTCATTCACGTCCTTTATAGTTAGATGTATTGTAACTTTCTGACTTATTTTCTTGACAATTAAATTACTCATTCAGTCAATTACGTCAGTTAAAAAAAATATACGTACAGTCATAAGCCCATCCAATTTTAGCGAATAAGTCAATGAAGTTTGTAGATACGTTGAAGCGACCCAGTTCCGACGTCCGATAGTCCCAGGGGAACACGTGGTGGTAGTTATGCCAGCCTTCTCCTAGCGCAGCCAAACTCACTAACGGGTTTTCCGACGGCTTGATAAATCTAAACACAAAGTTTTACATGCTTAATAAAAAAAAACATAAATATTTCGACTATATTAAAGCAAATTGCAATACGTTTCCATTAAAAACGAGAGTTTAGGAACGCATAGAGGAAAACTTATAATTGATTGTAATTACATACTTATCATAAGGTTTGTTTCCCCAGAGATGGGCGAAACTGTTTACGCTGAACGCTATGTTCAGAGTTATTGTGAATCTGGTAACGAAGCTCAACACGAAGCTGTTAATCAGAGTTTCATCCCAGTAGTAAACAGGGATCCAGACAGGTAACGCTATATTTAATAAAGCGAAGAGTGGGATGAAGTATCTGAAAACATAATAGTGTATTTAATTATAGTGATATTCATGAATAGTTACATACCTAGTTGGCAAAAAATTAAGTACATGATATCGCGAATAACTTTGCTTCAACATCAAGATTGATAGAAACAATTTGACATGGTTCATAGAAGAAAGACAAACTTTTTTTGGATCCTCACTACTGGATCGGCGAGGAGGTCCAGCGAGGTGATCCTGAGGGCCGCCCGCCTGTTCTCGACGGCAGGGTGCGGGGTGAGCACCAGCCAGCCTACGTGCGCGAACCAGAAGCCGCGTCTCACGTCGTGTGGGTCTGCTACCGACTCGGAGTATTTGTGATGCACACGGTGGTCGAGTGCCCACGTGTAAATGTCGCGCTGGAAACGTGAATACTTTGGTTAATTAGGCATAGTCATAACATGCGATAAAGTCGTGCCCCCTAGCGGGAACGTGGACGTATTATAATAAAAGTGACGACGACGACCTTGGTTTCGACTGTCGAAACTGTACGACAATTCGGGTATTAAAACATTTTGTTATCTTTGTATAAAGTAATGTTTATGAGAGGGTCCACACTTAGTTAGAACAATTTATAACGCGTAGTTGTTAGATGTACATTCGACAACGTTTCTAGCCTACTTATTGTAATATGAAAAGCGCTCTTACTTCAAGTTAATCTTATTTTTTTACCAACATTCCATCAAAATATTACTTAGGCATATATTTAAATGTATCTAAATTATATTTATTCAAGGTTATGTTATTTACTTGTAAATGTACAGTCTTGTCAACGTCTTTTCATAACAAGGGTTAATAGAAACAATTGACATTATTTTACGCATGAGACGAGTTGCTTTATTGATAGCAATAAACGATTTATACCGAAATATGTGCACCGTTACTCGTGGAAAATTTTCACTAATGAGCTTGTACTCTTCATATCTTCTTAATATAATTCATTTGTTTATACTAGAGTAATAAATAGAGTGATACAAAGCCTGTTGCGTTTGACTTATACAATAATATTACGTAACAATTAACGAAATAACACAAAAAACTTAATTTAATCTACAGGAAAATTCCACAAATCATCACTTCGATAAATGGTTGGCAAGTAATTTTTTTGGAGTTATCATATTTTGTTGCCAAATTTCAAATTCTATGAAAGGAAGCTTTCGAAGTATGGATTAAATTTTGTAAAAACATAACTTAAATGAAATAAATAATAAATAAAGGAGCGTCGGTGGCTCAGTGGCTTGAGCACTTGACTTGTAATCTACAGGTCTTGGGTTCGAATCCCGCCGCCATGTACCAATGTGATTTTCGATTTTTTCGAATTTTCATATGTACATAATTTACCCGACGTTCTTACGGTGAAGGAAAACATCGTGATGCAACCTGCACATATTGGTGAAGAAATTCAAAGATATGTGTGAAGTCAACCAACCCGCACTTGGCCAGCGTGGTTGACTATGGCCTAGTCACCCTAACTTTAGGGTAGGCTCCGAGCCCCTCGGTGGGGACGTATAGTGAGCTTGGTGATGGTGATGGTGATGATAACTTAAATTAGTTGAGTTTACATTACATACATTTTTTATAACAAAAGATGGCCGTTTGCCATGCCATGCAAGCGGCCACCTAAATCCACCGAAATAGAAAGCGACAGCTGTCCATATACATCCGCAATTGCAGATGCGTTGCCTACCCTTAAATGACGGAAGAAGAGACGTACATAAAGAGGACATTTCCCCTTTCTATGCGTCTTTTCCACCGTCAAATCCGCTTTCCTTCCCATCCAAGGGTGAAAAGGAAAAAGGACAAAAATTAGGCCTCCGGTACCCCACTCATCAGACGAGACGCGGAATTGCTTCCATTTCACGCCTTTCTTCTGTGTGGTCGTGATATTACACGATGATGTTAAAGCGGGCTCTACCACTGTTAAAACTGTTGTAACATAAATATTCAAACCTGTCCAGTTATAGTGAAAAGGAGAGCAAGAATCACTCGCAGGGGCGTTGTCGCTCTGTACGCCCGGTGTGACCACAGCCTGTGCACACCAGCCGTTATTCCAAAACCAGACACGAATATAGTCGCGAATACTGAAATAACAAAAAGAGTTCATTACTTCACAATCAACATCTCATTGTTCTTATTCCATTCTGTGTATGCTCGGACTAGGTTGTAGTCTATCGATCTGTCATTCGTTGTTAAGTCATTTCCTTCCTATGTCCTACGATCACGCAATCCTTCCATTAACTACTAAGCTTCATACGTAGTTATAGTAATAATACTTGTAAAAAAAATCATACTTAATGTGACCTTATTGGACGTTATACGATTTATAAGATAAAAAGCACCCTATTACAAAATTTTTGAAAAGAAAAAAATACATAAAATAAAACATGTCTATTTTAAATATTTTATGATGAAAATGACATGAAAAAATCTTTAATAAGAATCAATTATAATAACAACATCGCATCGCTGGCTTCCCTTTAATTTCTGCTTTTTCTAAAAAGTTCTTTAGAAAAAGCATTAAGTATTTTACTCTTCGTGTCACAGCCTTATAAAACAATATTTTCATACACATGTTACGTACATATATACGTTACGTTAACTAAATGTTAAAAAATCTATCAGTCTTCAAGTAAAACGAAATTACTTTTTGTCAATTACTAGAATGTAACGTTGAGTCTTTACAAAAATATACATTGCCAGACTTACCAAATATAGTTGTGTAGAATCTAACACTGTTGGTCAGCATAAGAAATAAACCATACACAGAAACTAAATGTAACGATAACTGCACTAATAAATCCGGCCACTTTATTCGCGGTCTAAATTCCACAGATTCATAAACGCTTATATCGAAGTTATCACTGTTCGTTTTCTCACTAGCGTCTTCACGTATCACATTATTGTTTTCGATCACTTTCAAACCACTTGAGTCTTTATAGCAATTGTCCAAGAGTCTCATTTTTATTTGCGCTTCACCCGCCTCACACACATCGACAACGTTTTGCTGCGCTGGCGCCATTCTATTAAATGCAATCAAAAACATTAATGAAACATATATGTTAGTTGCGAAAGATATATGGCATAGTCGAACGCTTGTATGGGCTTGTCAATAGCCGCGTACATTTATTTCTCCTTACGTGAATGCCTAACCATTGATACTGTTTCAAGATATGTTTATAATATAACTAGTAAATACTCTTTGCCATTTAATTTTATAAAGCTGTTTATGAGAATGTTTAAAAAGCTTTTTTAGCGATTTTCTGTCTGTACTCCTACAAGTTAATTATTAGGAAGGTCTAAAAATAAAAACGTTATTCTTTGTTTAAATATTAGCATGTCTGTTCTATAAAGAATGTCTTTGTAGTGCGTGCTAAATTTGATAGTGATAATTTTTCTATATCGCTTCCAAGAACTTTAGGTAGACTCTGCTATAAAATACTGTCGTTAAATAAAGCGTGTATAAAAATTATTACTTTAAGCAAAAATTTTAATTTTACTGTAATTACATCAACTTTAGTATATTTAGGGCCTGTCCCACTTAATTATAAATTGTCTGATAATCCAATGTGTAAAATATGTGATGAAAATATCGGATTTTGTTCCCTTCTTTGATAGTGACGTCATTTTTAAGGTATCTGAGCCTCTATCTGCTAGGGGAGAGACAGACCCCTAGACTTTTATTGTGTTCAACAGCCTTAGAAACCTTGAAATTTTTTTTCGTAGTTTGTTATGAAAAAGGTCGTTTTTTTCCGGAAAACAGTGTATTGTGGTTGAAATGTAATGTCACTGAATTCTTTATATTACCGATACGGCAATAACCTCGAATGCCCGCTTGTTAGATTAGAATTAATGGTAGTCGTAAATCGATACACCCATTTCTCCACAGAATGATTAATGAAACAAAATAATAATACGCACTCACGCACAGGCGACCTTTACACCTGAATTCAAACGCAAAAAAATATTTAATCGTCTTTTTGTTTTTCGTTTTGTAGTCTTTGTTTACAGAGTGTCCTAGGCATTCTCAGAAATTCGAAGTATTTTAAACTTCTTAAAAGTTCATCTATTTTTGAAAGTCACTGAAGAAACAAGACGTTATTTTCTCGCAATGAATATTCATTACTCCTTATGTTGTTTTAATATTATGAGATAATTATTAAATACTTTAAAAATATTTTTTTACAAACAAACTTTCTCGTTTACTTAAAATATCAGAAATGTGTTTATTACGAAGGTTAGTTTCATAACAACCACTTTTTGTGACAAATCACAGAAACGTGACTACAATACCGTTACGTTATAAGTTATTATAAATTGCAGACTTGGTTTCGGTTGCGTTTGGAGCAGTAGACCGGCCTCGTCTATCTACGCTTGGTCGCACACCTTTGTCGCATCACATTCCAAACCTATCTGCTTTTTTGTGGCCTGTTTAAGGTTGTTGGACAAAAGGTATAAAAAAAACTGTACCAGATACTTGTTTACAAACAAAGTGTACAATAATAAAATAATTTTCTTCAACACTTACCTAACCTGTTATGCTGTCATTAAAAATCACACAAGTTTATCTAAAAGTCGACAGATCCAGGTCTCTAGTCTCAAGATTACAAGGTCGCATTTAAATTTCCACTAAAGTGCAAGTAGTTAAACCATAAATAGGTCACCCGTATGTGTGAAATCATCATCTGAATCACAGATATATTTAAAATTTCCGCAAGGTTACTTACTAGCTTGTTTCACTATGTTCCCATAAAGCGTAACAATATGAATTAAGTTATAAGCCGTAATATGTATTTTCATTTTTAAAAATCATCAATGCTACAACCTTTAATTGAAATATAATGACTTTTTAATTGTAAAAAAAAATATGCAAAAACATATATTTGTCTGTGTAATTTAATATATCAATATTGTAAAGAGGAAAGATTTTAATAAATTTTTGTATTTATTAAAACCACTCTAAACGAAATAATAATAAAAATTTTGACCCCAAAAAAACTACGTTTTCTGTAAGTAAAGTAGGCTGTATTTTTATGTCACGCTGAGGAAGTCGCGAGCAACAGGTAGACATTAAATGTAATTACAGAGTTGACAATGTTTTTGCAGGTAGTTCGGCAAAGGAAACCAATTTTAAGAAGGTAAAGCGTAAACAACGATTATACTGTTTACATTGACTAAACATATTTCAACAAACCGCCGATAATGGCCAGGTGTTCAGATTATCGCTATCTATTTCCGACAATTATTATCGCAGTGAATATTACAAACGATCCCGACAACTAGCGTAATATTATTAACCTAATACCTTTCATCTGCGATTCTTCCAGACTATCCTCTACATCTATGCTTATTTTCATCGAGATCTGTTTAGCAGTTTAGGCTTCACACTCTAACAAACATCCATCCATCTAAATTTTCGCATCTATACTATTATAATAAAGCGTAAACACACACTTCTGTGTTGCCTAAGATGTCAGCAATTACAGCATATTTTTGAATAATTCTTTTTTTAATGAAAAGCCCTACACTTACGTCATGCTTTAGGCTATACATTTTCACGCCATTAAACTAAGGGGGTAAATATTTTGGATAAAAACCCTAATGTGGGAAAGAGACCATAAGTTGCTGCCAACATCAAGAAAGAAAGATTGCTAAGTTTTGTCATGTGATGTCATGTCATTTTGACATCTGCTATTGATAATTTGACAAGTGTAAACAATAACTATAACAACATTTTCATAATTTCATGCGGATAAAGCCGTACGGGAACAGCTAGTTTATAATATTAGTAAGATAAGATTAGTTGAGTAAGGGTAATCTTGAGAGATTACCCTTACCTTCCTCTACTATAGTGAGCTATAGTAGAGGAATGCGGTACGAGTAAAAGCAGTTTCAGAAAAACTCCCTGAGCTCTAGATCTATTATTTAAAATTAACAGATCTGAAATCTTTCATCTAGTTTTACATAATTCAACTTTGTAATATAGTAGATTAGAAAACTATGTGATATTTCTATAAAGGTTGTTCCTTTTGCCCTATTAAAGCTAACGATGCTACCTTCAACTTTAAGAAAGATTATTTTGCAAACTAATGAAATGAACTTACCAATAATTCTTATCGCTATACAACACTAGACTTCCGTTGATATTCATTTTTCTGTAGTTTCATTACGATTCTCAGAAAATTGTACAGTTAATAAATGTTAGCTTTTAGGTCCGTGGTAAAAAGGTAATGGTGAGTCAAAACAATTTTATCAAATTTAAACGCTAAATTCTAAATATCGATAATGTTTAAGCAAGCTTAAATAATTATTATACCATTTTTTTCTTTAACATTTTAATATACTGTCAGTTATATTATATCATAGCATCAACCTCCCAAGGCCTCAATCACAGATTGACTCACGAAATTGCTCCCAACAAAATGCAAATCATTACACGAATAGTGATTAATATTTGAATTGCTACTGTATGTTATCTTACTAGAATTGGAAGACTGTATTTATCTGGTAGAAAGCATTCATTATTCCCTCCCTATGTCAGGCAGTTATAACAGTGGTTAAGCCCCCTTTAACATCTTTGCACGAATGGGTCGGCACGCCCGGTGCAATATCACACAAAAGACAGGCGTGAAGTGGAAGAAATTCCGCGTTTTGTCTGATGAGTGTGGTGCCGGAGGCCCAATTTTAGTCCCTTTCCCGATCCATCCTTTTCTTATAAGGAAATTATTGGATCGGAAAGTGGACTTGATGGTGAAGGAAACGCATAAGAAGGGGAAAAATCCTCTTTATGTGCGTCACCTCCACCGTCGATTTAGGGTAGGCAACGCATCTGCAGTTGCGGATGTCTATGGACTGCGGTCGCTTTGCCATTTTGGTGTCCGCTTGCTCGTTTGCCACCTTATTGTATAAAAAAGACATCTAGATTTAAATTATCGAAAATATTGGCACATGTATCAAATGTCATTAGTTAAAATATTTATTGTTACATACATAATGAAACACGATGACGCGTAATTATCCACGGTGTTGTTACTATTTAAGTTACACGGACTTCGTTTCGTTTAGCCGCCATTTTCTATTTTCAATTATCGTACGCTTACGAAATAGGTAAGTCATTTCCATCATGTGAATGACATGCATACAGCCGTAATTTAAAAATATACATCTGTAGATACTGGTACATCTGTAGGTCTTACAATATTGAATTGAATAATTCCGGGAAACATGGATATAAGTGTTTGCTTTTTTCATTTAAATAACGTCAGTTATACAACCTTCTTGTACCTTATTGTATAGCTAATAGTAGTAGAGACTTGATCAACCGATGCTGAATGAACTGGCTTGACGGATGAAATACCTTTATGTTTCATTATTCATGATATTAAATGAGAGTATTGGATTTATTATAGACGATTATATGCAAAATGGATATCTTTTTCTAAACATGATTTTGCAGATGTCCATAGGTAGCAATCGATTTGCATTTTAGCGACATCCGGTGGCTTTTTGACTTTTTTACCACCTCCTATTATAGAGAGTAACAAAAATGTAATTGCTGTACGCGGTTGAACCACAAAGGTGTTGAACACTTGTCTCCATAAACCTTAAGTACATGATATCTAATTCAAATTTTGTATTTGAACCTTGGATAAGATGGGCTGTGGTTATGAAGCCATTAGAGTTGGTATTCTGCTAAAGCATACGGTTCTTTTCTAATGCACTTTGTGGAGAAAATTATTCGCTTAACTTATATAAATTACAATAAAGGTGCGCGCATACGAGTATCACTGCGTAATTTTGGTGATGTCATTGTTATGATTGTGTCATATTGTGTTCAAGGTCTGAAGTAAAAGATGTCTCTAATTATATTAGACTAGCTGTTGCCCGCGACTTCGTCTACGCAATATTAATATAAAAAGTAACCTATAATATTCCCGTCTATGTCTCAACCAATCAGTGAAAGTCCGGTCGAAATCGGCCCAGCCGTTTCGAAGTCGCAGACGCGGCTTGCGGACAGACAGACAGACAAAAAATTTTAAACGCTATATTCGTTATCAGCAACGCAAATACATCAGAAGATGATTCGGAAGATTCCCGAAATCTGGAATTTTACATTTGATATTACAAACAGACACTCCAATTTTATTATACGTATAGACATAGAAGATTTATATGATTTGCACAGAGTAGTTAATACAATGTACATGCATCATTCTTTTACGATTGATTTAAAACAAAGCTAATACGCTATTGAATTTTATATTGTTTTTATTACCTATTGTTATATGTAGGTTTGCTATATTTCACTATTATGAGAGTATGTATTTTAATAAATTACGTTATCTTTCGTGCCATATGTTTGTTGATAGCTAAAGTAAATAGAGATAAGGAAGATTAGTCATTAAAAGATTTATAAATGTCTATGTTTTATAACCGCACTAGCTTTCGTGCGCGATTCTGTCCGCGCGGATTTAAAAAAAAAAAACAAATAATAATAGTCTATGAGTTCTACCAGACTATACTCTACGTCCATTTCAAATTTCATCGAAGTCCGTTCAACCGTTTAGGCTACAAACTCTAACAAACATCCATTCATCTAACCTTTCACATTTACAATATTAGTACGAGTATGATTAGTATAATTTCAATGCACGTATACTATCGTGACGTTATGAATTTTTGAGACAACGATTACACGATTGTTTGCAAGAAAGATGTTTATTTTAATATCAATGCACTGAAATTATTACTTTAAAAAAGTCATATAGCGTATTTGGATACAATATTTTAAATAATGTTGTAACATTTCATTAAATGTAGTTGGAAGTGAAAATTCTTCTACTTCTGCAGCATATAAACATTGAATTTATTTATGCAAAGGTGTTATTAAAGTATTAAACGAATAAAACATTTGAATTAACTTAATGAACCACCTGAACACTCGTAGGTAAGTTACTATCGTCAGTATGTAACATGTTTGATTTAAGTAAATACTTATTATGTAGTACATTTACCGTTATACCTAATTAAATAAACACTCTACAAAATTAACAAAAGAGGTTAACTATAATTTTATAATAAATAAGTTATATTAAACGTGGCCATAAATATTATTGCACAGATTGACGAAACAATAACACTTTTCTTACGCTTTTACAAACAGAATTCAGGGACATCGAGGCTTGATAAACTACGCAACAAGTTGACGCAACTGTTTACTGAAGGAACTCATACAGCCACGGAACACTTCAGGATCGATTATTGATACATCGAGTTAGCGGAACGAATGGGAACCGTAAGGACGCGCGTTCGATACCGGCGACGCGCGCGACGTTCTATGGTGAACTGGTGGCATTACTGGCTTAGTGTGCCAACGCAACTGATGGGATGAGGTCGGGGCCATACTAACACAACATACAGTAAGCGCTCTATGGTGTCATATCTATGGATAAATCGACCAATCTGTCCACAAATTTCACTACATGTCGTATTTAGAGACTTTTTGTAAATCTATTTATCATAACATACCATTAGTCATACTTAATTTTACTATTAGATTGAATGCGATTTCAATTTATGGAAATGTTTATATTAAATGTCAGTAGAATATAACTTGATGTGTACAAGGTAAAGGTTAAAAAAGTGACCTTGGAAATAACTTTCGTGATAAGACCTGTTATGATACAGGTATTGTTTAATGATGTTATTTAACATTCTTTAGAATGAGTTTCACATTGTTCCGTCTGAATTTGTCATCGCCTTTACATTTGTTATGAGTTTACCGAGAATCGAACGCCAAATAAGCCCGCAGTTCTCGCGGCAGCGACGAAAGCACGAAGCGAAAAACCACCTGCGCTATAATGTCATGCATATCTGAAGAGATTGACCTCGTCTCTCGACTTACTCCTTTTTACAGCTTCTTTGTACATTTGATTTCGGCTTGTTTAATTACGGCATTATGTTGTAGTTTCAGTGCCATAAAGCATTTACCACCTAAATATTTTACATCACACAGGCACAGTCTAGGAAACACCCGAGGTTCTACTTACAGAAAAGTTGCTTTATTTCTTGCAAAGAGAAAACCTCCGCCACACTCTTTACAAATAACAAATTAGGTAGCCCTTTTTGTTACAAACATGTTTATAAATCTGCAGCCTATGTGTCATAGTGCCGAGCTGTAGTCGTAATGCTCAAAAACATTCAAACTCCTAAGGTTTTTATAGTATTTAATAGTATAAAAATTATATTTACGATTATAAATTAGATAAACACGAAACTATTGAACCAACTTAGACTGTAGAGCGTATTCACTATTTATGCAACGTAACTTTCGCTTTTGTAGATGATTCACTTTTTATTATTTGTTAAACAAACGAAATAGTTAATATTAAGGATCCAATGAAAGTTTCTTGAAAATTTTCCTGTGTAATGTTGTCAGATGTATCCAGAGTGGTCAATTATTGGGCGAAGATGCGTCACCGCGCACGAGACAGCGGCGCCGAGGTGGGGAGCGACGACAGCCTACGCAATGCGATTTAGGGTTGCCACCAATTAACTTTGCGTCCGAAGATTCCAGAACAAAAACAATTATTCCTATATTTATATTTGTTAGTAACATTTTTTTATTTCTAATAATAGCGATTAATTTACACAATTGTTGGATGTCTGCCCACCCTCGATAAGTAAAATATGTAAAAAAATTAAAATGCTTATGTACTTATCGTCTATAAGCATTTAGAGTCATAAGAGGCTAAATGATTATCATTTTTATAACATGAGCTTCCATTATTCTTTACTAATTTTACACTTAATATTGAAATGGGACAACCCTATTTAGAACAAAACACGCGTCATACAATTATAAGTCAGATGGTAATTTTCTTTGCACGGGCTTAAAAAACACTTGGAGACAATGTCGTCACCACTGCATTCATCGAAATTACCGTGAGAACTACCTATTGTTTCGGTGTAGATATTTATTAACAATTTACAATATGATCAAACTTTTTATCGATGCAGAGGATAATCTAGCAAACCCTACAATATACCGAAGGAAAACATTACTTTAGGTTTAGTTTACTGATGCTGCTACGAATCTAGGCATAGGCGTTGCCCCGCGATAATCTGGGCTTAGCAGGCCGATTCAGAAAGGAAAGTAGTAAAAATAATTATTCTCCTAAGAGAATTAACAAACAAGTGGTCCAATTTTCAGTTAATAATAGAAACGTGATTTTTAAGTTACCCCAGTAGGTCTCTAGGGATTAGGAGCATTGGTATTTTCAATTGATTTATGTTTTCTTTCACAATTTCTGATACTCTTTCAGAGATGGGGGGGGGGCTACCTCCCCTGCCTCTCTCAACGACCATCGAACAAGAGAACATAATCATCACAGTCGTTAAAACAATAGTGTCTCCGCTTCCTATAACATTTTACATTTAGTTGTGCTGCAAGATTTCAATTGCCGCATCGTTTAGCTTAAATGTAACTAGACTTGTTATTAGAATGTGTACTCATTTATGTCCCAGGATTCATGTAGTCATATATTGCGTTGTATTGTATAGAAGAAACGATGTATTGAAAAGGTGGCAAGTCAACGGAAATCTACTGTGCATAAATTGTCCACACCTGTCACCTTTGTTACGATTTTTGCAGCCATCTCACACTTTCTCTTTGAGATATCAAAGATATAACAATAATTTTCTTTAAATGTAATCGTGTTAAGATAATTAGCGAAATATTAAAATAAACATATTAATGAAACACATAACTTTTCTCCTGCTGTTTTAATGTGAGCAAATAATCATATTACAGAAATCACAGGAAATATTTTACAAGTAATAATACTGTATGATAAAATTAATTTATTTCTCTTTATTGATATGTAGTTCTATCTAGTTATTATCAAATTCAAATTTAATAAAAAAATATTTGAAATATACGCTAAAACTCTAATAATATTATGTTAGAGTTTAAAAGTATTTTACTTTTAACACTCAGTTCAGTAAAGTTGTTAAGTCAGCTAACAAATTTTGAGCTAAACACGATGGTCTGTTTAAGTACACTAATAGTGTAACAGAAACCCTACTTTTTATCCGAACTCAGGGTGATTCTGCTTGTTGCATGAGTGTAAGTTTTTATGTATGTAATGAAGGTTTTACCACCGGTCGTGTCCGGCAACTGGTTCACCGGAATACGGTAGCTTAGGACGAGGGAGTGGTTTTGCTTACTCACTTAGATCCATTAGCGTTATTCTAAATCCATTCCATACACGCGCAGAGGCTATATCTCTCATCATCATCATGTTAGTAAGTTTTATTGTGGTATACTCCAGGTAAACGACAGAACCGATCTTGATGAGTGAAGTATCCTTCGAATTCTATTTCTTTCCTGAGTGTCATAGGATAAATAGTTATGTAGAAAAAATAGATAAAAATAGTACAGTTTTTTTTGCATTTTAATTAACTATGTAAGTAATTCTTTCATTATATACAGTATGCATTGTAAAAAAAAAGTATTTTCTAAATCTGATTTTTCTTAACCTTTCAAACACTACAGGATTAGCTTAGCAATATCTCTCGTAAATATTATTTAGTTAAGATAAACTACGTACATGTACAAAACCATAGGTATTATCTTATAGTGGCACATTCGTCGAAATGACTATTTGTTCCGATTATATAAACTCTAACTTGTCTCGGCGAATATTTTACAAACGCAAATAAGGCGGCTTCCGGCAACATTTTAACAAAGGAAAATACATGGCTTTGGAGCTTTTGCTTTAAAGGGATACTAAAATTGAAAAATATCTTAAATGTTTTTATTTTATGTGTTCTGAAATATAATAACAGGGATGACGATATGTATTGTATAGGTGTATCGGCAGTGTTATGATGTCGTTTTACCTTTTTTTGTGGGGTTACTCAAAAGCTGCAGTAAAATTTTGATGAATGATCCATTTTCCGATAAGATCTTGGTTGATTGTGTTTTCTCATTGTCTTGTCTATTTGCCGTCATTTACTTTAATTAATCTGTACGATTGTTCTGGAGTTGGGTTACAATGGTCCTTTTTATGCTAATTGAAGTATCTACTCGTAACCTGGAAATAAACGTATTTATGTTCCTATTAACAGGAAAATGAATAAAATGTATGCAGTAAAAAAATAATTAATGGTTAAAGACCGAAAACAACAACATTTTTTTATCACAAATGCGCATTAAAGTAAATTAAAAATAATAGAATAGAGAAAAAATGGCGTGAGATAATTTTTTTGGTTAGCATAAAAATTAGAACAATAAAGTTTTTGAAACAAAACAAAAGTTTAATTCACAGATATTCATACCTTACGTTATAATTACGAGCCAAAATTTACATAGAAATAAACACATAAAGGTAGTAAACTTTACATCATTGCCTTTTCACATATGTATAAACTTGATAAAACCATTTATATAAGAGCGTAGAATCCCGTAACAAAAATATGTAGAAATAAGTGAAATAACGTAACTATTATTTTTTTATTAAAATAAGTATTATTAGTATATTTACATATAACAAACTCAGGTTTACTAACGAAGCTTAGATAATTCTTATTGGAGTAGTTTTATAGTGTATTAGCTGTTGGTCCCGACTTCGTCCTCGTGAAATAAAGAAATAATAATAAATACATGTCACTCACAAATGTACCTTTATTATTGTGAAAGAATTTTGAAATCGACCCAATAGTTTCTGACTTAATTCAATATATACAAAAATCTGAAAATACAAATTTATCTTCTTTATAATATCTGTATAGATTACTATTAGTATATTAGTATTACTAGATTTACTTTTGCTTCTTTCCGACTAACCGAGTAAGAAGAGTAAAGGCTGTGCAGGCGTTGGGATGCCGCCCAGGGCGTTGGACAGACAAGGGTCAATATCGCGTATTCTATATCACAGAAGCCTGTTATACCCCAAAATCATGGCAAAAGGGGGCGTCCTTACAATCTCGCCCAGGGCGCTAGGAGCGCTAAATCGATAGCCACTCGTCAGTAAATATGTTAATGTTGCATATAATAAGTAAATTATATTGGTCAATACTAAATAAATAGACAATACAACTACAATATTTGTTGACTATAAAGAAATTAGGATGTAGGTTCCTTTCAAGATATTATTAACGTATTGTTGTTAATAAAGGATTGACACAATGCTTTCACTTCCTTTCTATTTTAGTTAATATTAATGAATTGTCAAAAGTCAAAAAATGTACTTTATGAAAAAAATAAGCACAAAGAAGTCGACAGAGCCTAAGGATTTCGTATGAACTAAAGCTTGCAAATTTCTACATTCGATTTGGTGACGAGTTACAACTACACTTAACTACTCCTTATATTATCGCATTTCTTTAGCATATCACAAAACCATAAGTCTTCCCAGACATGTAATTAAATATTTCAGATAACATAATTAAAAAGGGGTCATTAGAATGCACCACATTATCCCATTAATAAAAAGCTATTAAGGTGAACAATAAACTATATTTTGATTAGTATCATATCGGCAGTGTCATGGGTTGACAACAAATAATTTTGAATGCCAAAGTGAAATTGAAAGAAGCGCATGAAGAGATGAATGGGTGGGGAAAGTGTTACAGCGTGGCAGAAGATTGCGGCGCGCAAAGCCTTTTCTTGCGGCCGCTGGTCCGTACGTAAACGATATAAAGGACCCTTTACATGTGCTGTTTATATCGAGTTCGACCGGTGTGTGCTCTTATTAGTGTACGTGCTATTTATTGGTAAGTTTTAGATTTATAATTATTATAAGTAATAATAAATCGATTAGAAGTAAATATTAATAGATTGTATAAAAAAATAAATTTCATTTATTACGTTACCTTAAATTTAAAAAATGCAAATACATATAAATGTATATTTCACGACAATAAATTATCAATTTTATGATAAATCATTAAACCGTATTGCTAATAATCCTAGTTGTAATAATTTAGAAATCATTTCATCGAAATTAATTTTAATTATGAAATTGTAATAAGATTAATTTCAAAATTAATTTTTGTAAAGTCAAAATTAATCTGTGATGAGAAATATGCGGTGGCTATTTCTGTTTATTTGTATGACCTACTGCACCCATGCTGCTGGTTACGCGCAGTAACAAAATGCAATGGAAATATTGTTAAACCAATGGAAGATGTACCAGTTCTTAAATTGTTCCTATTAAAAATATATGTTCGTGATTATTTCATTTTAAAACATATTTAAGATATTCATCTTTACTGGAATGAACAACAATGAAAAGATAATGGTTAAATCTCATTTAGAAACACTGGAATTAATTGCAATTGTTTAACGCTACGGAACTTTAAAATGCATCGAGTAAAATGGTAATTAAATTAAAAATTAGTGTTCTTGTTTAGACGAAGTATTATGTTATAGTTTTTTTCTACAAATCGTAGTACGTTTCGAATGTTTAAAAGAGTGTAACTTGTCGCCACCGTTTAATAAGGTACTCACATACTTTTGTGGTTCTAAAAATTGATTAACATAAATGTAAGTCGTCGGTGGTTAGCATTAGGCTCCTGTGGTGTCCCACACCCAGGAGAATCCCACATAACTCTCGTACCTGCCCCGTACTGCAGTATGCATAAAGCATTCCCCTATGTAAAAAAGGTTCCGAGCTCCTTCGTGGAGACGTAAAGTGAGCCGGTGATGCTGATGATAAGTCAGTACTAAAAGCTAAAAGAAAGTAATAGTTTCACTTATCTTTTTCAAAATGATTTTAACCAGAGCTTCTTCGTATTTAAAAATAAGTAGCTTTCTTATCAAGTTTATTTAATTGAGGTGTCAGTAGTTGCAAATGTTGTCTTGTTTACGATATTTTATGGTAGATAAAAAGACAAAAGAAAATAGTACGCGTGACTGATCAATTTGACGCGGACCGTTTACAAGCGGATATATTTGTAGCCCACCCAATTAACTATTGATAAAATTTGTTATTTGAAGTTCATACTGTAACTTTAAGCTGAAGCGTAAGGTTAACTTATTTTAATAAGGCATTAATAAGGTTAACGCGTATTATGAAACATCTCATGCACCCACCGCGCTGTTGCCTCGTCATAGTCGATTGAACGGTTTAAAACTAGGAAATTGGGATGCATCATTTCCGTTGCACGACTCCAAGTTGCGCGGCCCGCGAGGAATGCAGCAATGTGCGTTAACCCTTAAAGTAGTGACCACATACATTTTCAGTAATAAAAATAATCTCTGTTTAATATTATATCAACTTTGAGACATATGCGACGCGACATTTATTATACATTCATACTAACATTATGCGAAAGTTTAGATGGATGGATGTATGTATATTTGTTAGAGTTTGTAGCATAAACGGCTGAACGGAGTTCGAGTAAATTTAGTCTAGATATAGAGGATAGTCTGGAAGAACACATAGGTAACTCACTTTGATTTTTTAAATTCCACTTGGACGTAGTGGCGGGCATAAGCTAGTTATAAATATCTTTACAATGTTGTCTTTAACCTCGACCAAATATCATATTTTGTAACATTAGGTATTTCATCAAGATTGTGTTAAATGGGTTAGGGTTTTAGATTTTTATGTATTAGAGGTTAAATATTTTGTTAAACCCACTCCTGAATAGTGCAGATATTTAGTTTGTTAATGAACTTGATCCCTATCGCTGCTGTCTCCTGTGTCTATGTGCTGAATTTCATTTATTTGAATCCCTACATGTTTTACTTTGTAAATTAGAATAACAATAGGTACTTATGTTGTTAATAAACTAATTACTTTAAGACTATGAAACCGCAGGTAACACAGATGTTCTTATCCGAATTCTTGGAATATTCATTAAACAAATGCATATACTTTTATGTTTCGTGGAAACTTGTAGTTAATCTATGGTTAAATTATTTAATCACATTTAAAAGCCCACTTTTCTACAAGTGTTAATTCAATTTCACCGAATATTAAAAGATTTAGATTTTAGTCATATGTAGTTAGTAGTTTTGGGAAATACTTTTTCAATAAAATGTGCGTAAATTCTATGAGGAGAATAATCATCGATTTGTGTTTTACAAAATTGTTTAGTTCTATGTATTATAATGCACTGATGTTTTAAAATGCATTCTCAGGAAACCAAATAAAAGCCGTCTCTGAGCTTTTATAAACGTTGTATGTGTTAGAGTTCAAAGATTTATAGAAAATAAATTTGCGCAGAACACTGACAAAAACTCTATCACACATTACCTTGATGTGAAACCTTTTTATCCAATCAAAATGCAAATTTGTGGAAACAATGAGCATTAGTAAAAAACAACACGAAAATTACTAATGTGTGTGAGTTCTTTGTTTCCTCTATAATTAATTGCTAACATTTTTTTTTTCAAATTTATAGGCCATTCGTTTGCTTGTTATTCTTGTTTGGACGTTTAATAGATGGCAACAATTTTCTCACGTGTTTGGATTTTTTTACACTTAAAAACTTTTTCGAACTTTATGTAGTACTAGCTTTCGCCCGCGACTCCGTCCGCGTGGAATTTTAAAAAAATAAAAGTGAGTAGCCTTTGTGTTTTTTCAGACTATCCAACCATTCAGGCTACAAACTCCAACATACATCCATCGATCTATCCATCTAAACTTTCGCATTTATAATATTAATAAGATTACAAATTCTTATGGTGCACATCCGTAAAGAAAAGTTAATTATTGTCATTGGTTTTAATATTTAACTAAGTATATCGTTGTTACAAAAGTGAACGGCTAAATACCCAGAAGCAATTTATTAAAATTAAGAAAAATAATAAATATCCAAGTGTTTGTAATGAAAAACAGTCGTACATTGCTCAATACCGCACAGTGCAGTGCGCATTTAAACCGACAGCTTTGTGCAGAGTTTTACGACTAGCGTTTCTAGGACGAGAGACCTATAAAATATACCAAAACAAAGGTAAATTTTAAACGATTCAAGTATTCGTACAATTGTACCATTGAATAATCTTATTGTATCTTGTAGAAACTAAAGTAGAAAACTAGTTAAAAACAATTGTATGATTAAGAGCGTATATGCAGTCTAGGGGCTCAAATGTATACGTTTTTTGTTTTTCTCAATATCATGCCCGGTCACACTTGGCCAGTACAGTTGGACAATTGTGCCGGCCAGTCACAGATTGTATAGTCTCATGTTCACATTATGCCAGTTTAATGTCAGTCCAGTTATTGAGCGCACTTGACAGACTTTACTGGCCAGATGTAAACCGATCATTAAAGTTAAGGGATTCCCAAAGTATTGTGCATTTTAAATACTTTCTTATCGTAATTGCTAGGTAAACAATTATATCACCTTTCCCTATTACTATAAAAATAAGTAGGCATTTAACAATATCAAGTCTTTTTGTTGCTTGTAATGCACATTCCATTTCAAAATAATGCTACGTGACACACGATGCGTCGGCGCAGCTCACTTCTCTTTCACTTGTCGATTTGATTTTATTGCTTCTAATGATTTTATAACACAATCTTTCGATGCTTATTGAAACTCGATAAAATTTTGAATTCCTGAAAGATTTAAAATAAAGATCTTAGTATTAGTTAATAACAGCAAGGCGTTAATAAAAAATTGTAGCAGTGAAAATACACTTCTTCCCTTTACACCCTTTTCGTATAAAGTAAGGATAGGAAGAGGAAGCGGCATTAGTGGGAGAGGGGACGCTTGGGTAGGGGAAATATTATCTTTCTATTCTTCTCCTTTGTTAATTTTAAATAGACAACTGTACATGCGTGTCTATGGGTCACGGAATGCGCTATTTTGGTGAATTCCTGGAAAAAGAAACTAGTTTTTACTATAAAAAAATAACACAATGTAGCTTGATACTTCTAGAAGGTATTTTGTAGGAAGTAGAACACAAGTGCATATACGGTGACTTTCTAATAATACAACTGAAGATCTTAAAAGTCTCATTGTAATAATGTCTTGTCATTCCTAAGTTAAGGTTGACAGTAACTTTTTCTTTTATTGCCTTTGATAATACTTTCTAGAGAAAACTAACCAATACTTTTAAAGTGAGTAATGTATGTTTATTTAGATTGTGATCACAGTTGACAAATTGCGACTAATTAAAATTCATGTATGACAAAATAATAGATCTATACTATTTTAATAAAGCGTAAACACACACTTCTTTGTTGCCTAAGATGTCAGTAATTACAGCACATTTTTTGAATAATTCTTCTTTTAATAAAAAGCCCTACAGCTTTAGGCTATATATTTTTACGCCATTGAATTCAGGGGGTAAATATTTTGGATAAAAACCCTAATGTGGGAAAGATACCATAAGTTGCTGCCAACATCAAGGAAGCCGGATGGCTAAGGTGTGTCATGTCATGTAATTTTGACATTCGCTATTAACAAATGTAAATACAATACAATAAAATTTTCATAATTTCATGCGGATGAAGCCGCATGGGAACAGCTAGTAATTTATAATAGTCGTTTCATGCATGTGCTGTCTTGAGCCTTGACCCAACAGAATACTGATAGAGTAGCTGTTTGCTTCTTTTTAATAAGTAATGAACGAACATTATCATTTTTGTGCAGAAAATTTTCCACGATTATTAATATCTTTAGTACAAAATTAAATTGAGTCAAAAAGTATAGCGGAAATGTAAACAATGTGATAAAGCAATTCAGTGACAGTGTTAGTCTTTCCAAATCATAATATTTTTATCTTCATAACTATATATCATTTATAATTTACATAT